CTGAACACATTGCCGACTAGAATCAAGTAATAACATTTATACTATTATTATAGTTCAAATGAAATGGAGATTTGAAAAATTATCAAATATTGCTGATGATTTTCAATTCCTTTCTGGTCATTCACTATCTTTAGCACCAGTTGAAACATTGAAAAAATATGCAGCTGATTTAGCAATCAAATACAACGAAGATATTGACCAGGAAATAATAAACGAAATCCAATTTTTTAAATATCAAGCAAAAGCAATTCTACCAGACTCAAACAAAACAGCTTTAAATATTTTAAATGCAATTAAAAAATATGAACTTGATTCAATTTGACCAAATTTAATAACTGCATATATATAGTTTCTTACCATGCCTGTTACCGTCGCTTCCGGGGGACGCTCTTTTTGTAAATTGAAATTAATTAAGACATATTTTGTATTTACGTTCAACCATGTCTCAAGAAAGATTAACCAATTCAGCAATATTGTCAATTGAGAATGAAATAACAAAAAATATTGATTTTGAAGATATGATTGAAGATTTTGCTTCAAAAAAGTCTAGGAAAATTAAGTCTTAAATTATGAACCTATATGATACGTATCATATACGTTTGTAAATATAACATGTATAATATAGTATAATTTGTGATTTGTATTAATTTTTAATTATTTTATACCTAATTATTTTGTTTAATAATTACTATTGTAATCAACTTCAGTTTTTCATCAAATTTATGTTCAAAATACGTTGTAAAAAAAAATATAATTTTATATTCATATTTATAAAATAAAATATGAATTAAATAGGAATAAAATGCATAATGATAACTAAAATAGGGGTGAATACTTTTAATTTTGCCCTGGGTGCCAAATCTTAACGGCACGGTTCTGACAATTACCATTAGTGATGAGTGGCATAGATAAAATATACTAGTATATTTAATCTATGTTAGTGGATACTGGATAGTATGTGTTATGTGTACGAGTGGTACGACGATTATTATTTTTATCGCAAAATAATTCAAGATTCAAGATTCTATATACATTATACACATCGTGATATTAATATAAAAAATAAACATCTTTTGTTTTCCAATAATAGGCTGTTTTGCACTTTTTTCCTATCCTAATAAGTAATAACAGTACATGTCTCATGAATTTTAAAATAAAATTAAAATGTTTGTACATCATTTTTTATAATACAAATTGTATGTACGAGGGTCGAAGGCCCCTCCGGGGCCCACCAAGTCCAAAGCTCCGGGGCATTGCCATCCCGTAGTTACGCCACTGGAAACTATACTAACGTAATAGATACTATAAGTTAAATAATTGACTTAACTGTACCTAAAAAAATAAATCTACCTTGAAGCATTGACCTAAGTTAGATCTTATTAATTCAAATAATAGTAACAAGTATTATAATTGTGAACAAGAAAATAACTCCCTAAAATTATCACTGCATTTTGGATTATGTCGATTATGCCCCCCCTCCGGGGATATGTAACAGGTTACATACCTAATAATTATTAAACTGTAATTAATGAAATCTGGTAAGATAACAATAAGTTAATAAATTGGCGACAAAGGTCGGATACTTTGAATACATTTTTCAATTAAAAATGATTCGGATATATCAAATATATACGTGGAACGTACTTACGTACACGACTACATGAGTTCAACCGTTGGTTCTTAGATACTAAGTAGGTATCTAAGGTATCTACTATCAACTCAGTACTCGTTCAGTCAAAAACAAAACATTTCCCGAATGGTACGTAATACGTATCAATAGATTTTAGAACATTTTAAAGTATAATAATAGTACTGTTACCTACCGGACCACTCATCACTCGACAATCGCAATCCTAAATACCTAGTGGCTAGGATAAATTGTAAATTGTATCAATCACTTCATTGTAATAAATTAAGTTTCTAGTAAAGTAACCACATTAACGGAAACAAACGAATTGTAATTATCTATTCTGTTATAGTCTTATGACTTATGAGTATTAAAATAATATCCAAAAACATCATTACGTGTATTTACTATTTACTACACAGTTAAATTTAAAAAATATACCGATTAATTTTAAGATGTTATTGCCACGAACTTATTTTTCACAGTGTAAAGTTCACACCGATCTACGGTATTTTTGATTTAAAAGTTACTAATAGGCAATAGCTATTTATAATAGATACCTACCTACATGAAATAATATTACAATAAAACTACTATACTATATAATACATATGACTTATTTTTTTTTTAAACAATAGTCAGTCATAAAGTTTTTTAGTATTGGCCGTAAACTAGACCTAGTTGACGGCTTGAGGCCCACCATTTACATCTTTCGCGTTTTCGATGTTCTAATAATTTGTTATAAAATGTATATAGTATATACTATGAACAAAAAAGGTACAACAATTATTTAAAGCATTTATTATACTGTATTTATAGATCACACTATTGAACTAAAAAACATATTTTATAATAAATTATACAGGTGGTTAAAATTCTGCTAGATCTTTCGATATTTCAATAAACGGATGTGATCCGTTTAAATGTTTAATTTACTTCGTTTTACATAAAACCTGCTAAATAAGAATTTAAGAAGTTTTTCTTTGTTTCTTGTTGCCTCATTTAGTACTTTCCCACATTATTTCAATATTATTTGTATGAGCTTCACTTATTAGATCCATAAAGTTAAATTTGTGGTTTACTAAGAGTGATTATAAAGGCCGGTTTTTTAAATATGATTTAGGTTCGCCAAGAGTCAGATAAAATAATTGATTCAACTTGTTTACGTTCAAAAATTATTGGTAATAGGTAACGTATTTCCGATCATTCGGGTAATCATGCAACGAATTTGACGATCATTGTTCTCACGACATATATATCTAGGTACCGTCAAATACTCGTTGCTGCGGCAGTACTCGATCTGCATTATTTTTACGCCTGACAAATAACTCTCATTGATCTGATCAAAGGAACTAGTACCTTATATTTTTGAACCGTCTTAAGAAAGTTTCCATACACTGATGACTTCTCTAATAAAATTAATTTAATCTACTACCTACGGTCGATTTGCTCATTAGTCATTTCAAATTTGAGTTTATAAAATTCCAGTGATGTTAGTTCATGGGACCAATCATAAATTAAGTGAACAATAGAACTTAATTTTATCTTAGCACTTTGCATCCAATTATTGGTCTCAACACTTTTTTATGCTTGACATAATCTTAAATGACATTGTAAGCGACCCCTTTGAAGATCTGTAACCATTTTGTGTTCACCGTCACAAATCCTATAGTTAAATGAATAATAGTGCAAAAAAATTATTGTCATACACATCACTAAAAATTTATCGAAAGTTCATGTTTTTTGTTTTAGTACTACAAACAGTAATGGCGACTGAATAACTGAGGTAAGTACTCCATAATATTATAGATGATACCCTTTATTATACTTATCTAACATTTATAATTTACATATCTTTTTTTATTTGAATTTTATACATTTTATAACAAATCATTAGAATACTGAAAACGCGAGATGTAAATGGCGGCCGTTAACTAAACCTGAGTGACGGGGGTCATGTAAGCCAATATTGTTTTTTTCCAACTACCTTTTGAATGACAAAAAAATATGTCTTCATATTTAACAATTAAAACATGGAAAACTCATGTAATACACAAAAATCTGAACTAACCTTTTATGTACGAAGTATATAATCATATACTTTTAAAGGACATAGTATAAACAGTTTAATTAGATTTTGGTTAAACAAGCATAATATTAAAATGAACTGTAAAAAATTGTCAACATTCAAGTACTCAACACAGTCAGGTGTAATAAAAGTAAAAAAAAAATCAATTTTTTTTAAAATTAGTATATTTTTATTTTGTTTGTTATTGCTATATAGTTTCCTATTTAAAAATATAAGTTAAATAATAATAATTACATTATAACATTTATATAATAATGAATAATATTAAGTTTTTAACCTCTTAACCAAATAAATATTAAACCAAAAATTAATAATGTATTAAACGTTTGAATAAAAATAACAAAAAAATGAAAAACAAAAAAAAATTTGCCTACTATAATTGTTATGTAGGTATATAGCATAATATTATTAATTATTATCATATAACACTTATGAGTAACTACATACAATATGTAGGGGAAATCGTACAAAATCGTGATTGTCCTTATATTAAAATTTAATAATTATATTTATTATCAAATATTATTTTAATTAAAAACGCGAGTTCTAGTTTTTTATATTTGTAATGAAAAAAATAAAAAATAAAATAAAATATTTTTAAGATATAATTTTTGATATGTTAGGTAGGGATCTACAGTGAAATTACACTATGAAACTTTTGACCCTAAAATTTGAAATTGTTCATCACATCACATTTTAACAATATACACCTGTATTTACATTATTGATATTATTAACAGTGATACAATTATGATAAACTAAATTTAAAATAGGAGAAATAAAATTATATTAAATTTGTTTTGAAAAGAAAAAAAGTAATGGCACATAACTGATTTATAACTGATTAAAAAGTATGCACTAAAATAATGTATTAAAATGTAATTATAAAAAATACTTATTTTGTGTAATTTGATTTTTTGTATTTTTGTGTAATAAAACTAAAAGTTTTATTTAGAAATGATGAGTTAATATTTATTTGTTATTATATTAACATTAAATATGTTTTCAAGGATAATGTAAAGACAAAAATTAATTTTGATATTTTGTAGCGAACAGTAATTAAATGATCAAAAACTAAGATTTTAGTACAGAAAATATATAACTATTCTCACTGAAAATAAATTTTTTATAAAATTTAACTTTCTGCATATAAAACTAGTGGGTTTTATCTCATATCGCTACAAAATATCTTTTTTTAATTTTATGAAATTAAACAGTCAAAAATTGTTGGTGAATAATAAATTATTTCATATATGTGCCTACCCATAAAATTTAACAAATTTTGATATGTAAGTACATATTACAATTATAACATACATATTTAACAAATAATAATAATAATAATAATAATACTATCGTATTGTACTACAATGTCATAATATACTCTTTAATTTTCATGTTCATCTGTTGTCATGACGGTTACAAGTTCAGTAACAACTTTACCTAGATCACCTGTAAAGAATAATCAAATAATTATTATTTTTTTTAAATATTATCTCATAATAATACTAACTTAGATTTTTCCATTTCCATGAACAGCTAACAAATAATGGAACATAGTAGTATTAAAAATATAATAGATAAAGCAAAATGTCATAATATTTAAATATTAATTATATTATATATATTTAAAAACCATTATTAACCATTAAATAAAAATTATTGACAATTTGTTTTGCTTCTTTTGATTTAAAAATATAAATTAAACAGAAAAATGATATTTTAAATTATATTTTACCTGCCATATGATGTAAATTACCAACGGCATGATGAGATGCTGAAATTGGCGGAGGAGGCGGTCTCTCTAAAGTATTACGGCTATTGTTTTCTGACCAATTTCCTAAAAAAAAAGAATTATATAATAAAAAAAAACAACATTTACAAAGATATATTTATATGTAAATATAATAATTAATTAATCTAGACTTACCTGATTTGTCAGAAGAATTTTGTAAAGGAGAATCACAAGCTAACTGAGAAGCCGTCACTGATCTTGTTTGGAATGTTGCTGGCTAAAATTGAAAAAAAAAATCACATTATTTAATTAAAAATAATGCTTTAAAAATGATAATTTTTGTAAATTTTATAATGCATACAATATGTTAAAAAAAATATTAAATAATATTTATATTTTATAGTCTATAATCTCTTCTTAGATTTTATAGAATTATTTGTTTAATACAAACTTGTAATATGAATCAATTGAAACAAGTGTTTGAAATTTATATTAAAAGTTAACTTTAATCTAAGATTATTTATTCAAATAAATTAAATAGATAAAAATAATTGAAATAAATAATTTATTTTTATTTAAATAGCCTAAATAAATGACCCATTTTTTTTTAGACATATAAAAAAAGATTGTCAAAAGATTGATGTGTTCTATCTGAGTAACTAGAGATCCAATAATACTAAGAGATTGCTGTTCAATTATTTTGTTTAATATATAATTTAAAAAAATTTTAACATACTACACACAGTTATTTGGATTAATAATTTTTCTCAGTGCAGATAACACTTGACTCCTACATGGAAAGCAAAAGTTTTTTCAGATATCTCGTCGTAAATTTAATTCGTTGAATTTAAATGTATCATTTGACAATCTCAGACAGGCAAACATATTATATATATTATAAGGAAAACCAAAATATGTTACATTAGTTCATTTATAATTATATTTTTTTACAGTATTATAATATTAAGTATTTGATTGATGGAAAAATTCAACAATAATGTTATAAATAGGGTTGCCAGATTTTAAAATTACTAAATTGGGATATCATATTGAATAACCTACGATAATGATATAATAATACTATGAACAATATTATTCTATATTTTATTATTAAGTGATGCAATATTAAAGTTATTTTCTCTCGGCTCCAATTAACTGGGGCAAAATTAATGACCGTTGGTATATGCTATTAAAACCGGGACAAATGGCAAGCCTATTAATAAGTACTATATTTCTAATGAACTTTGGACAATTAAACACAAGCAGACAATTTCTACTTAGTAATTAACTTTAAAATTAAAATACATATGTATATAATATTTATTTTCTTTTACTTTTAAATTAAATATAGAATGATTTTATAAGCAATTATTTATATAATTTTCACTTACTTCTTCTAATAGTTGTCTAAGTCTTTGCAATTGTGCTTCTAATTGTCTGTTATGATCTTCCAATATTTGCATACGTGCTTCTAAGCGGCCTTTATGCTGACGTAACATTCTTGCCTCGGATACCATATCAACCTCGCCATTATTATTGGGCATAATATTGTAAGACCCTTTACTTCCAGTTCCGGTTTTTAGCTTTTCATATTCTTCTTGCAAGTGCGTGTTTTCATCTTCTAATTCTCTATAATTTCATGTTAGAATAATTAATTATTTATTAATCTAACCAACCTAACTGAAAACTTACTTTATCATAGCTTCTAACTCATGTCGTTGATCTGCATCAATTGCTACCATTATTTGAACTGGACTCCTGGGTACAGATGGCAATGTTTCGGATCCACCATTTAAAGACTGACAATACTGGGCAATTAAATTATGTTCATCTTCACTAAAAATAATAATAAGCATTAAAACAAATATTAGCATTTTACTGTGTACTCTGGTGTAATGACGTAATAACATGCTTTTTAAAGAGAGGGTATAAGCATTTTTAATTGTTTTTAGATAACATTAAAATAAAATATTGTTAATCAAATGCACAGGGAAAATATTTGTATATGCATGCTATAAATGATAACTTAATATAAATATCTTTGTGATGGTGGTAAAAATGTATTCATTTCTTTATCACATCTAAGTTATTGTTACCAATCAATTCCTTAATTTATATCATGAAATATTAAAAACACAGTAAAACAATATTAAAAATATGCATTTTTATTTTAATTATAAATTGTACAGCATTTTTTCTTTGAAAATGAAAAATGAATAGAAAAAAGAAATCTTAAGTATGACACTTTATTTTTACCCTATGACCATGCGCTTGTACTGGTATACTGAATGTTGTAAGATTAAAATTAAAAATATAATAACTTACGAATCTGGAGTAGAATTGCTACGTGCTCTATATTCAACTTCAGCTAGACGTGAAGCATACATCTCTAAACGGTTGTGAACATCAGGTATAGTAGAAGGAGTATTAGAATGTTGTGGTGATGGAGAAGGACTCTCTAATGCATCACCTTCTAATACTGATTGAACAGGTAAATATCCAACACGTGGATGTTTTTTGAAATAACGCTTTGATTTGAATTTATTACGAAGGGCACGTGTAAAATCCCGAACATCTTCACCAGATGTTGTTGTAGTACAATATTCTTGCATTGGATGAGTAAGTTTATGGTGTTTAGCTTTACGACCAGAAAAGAAGCACGATTGACACATATCAAAATTGAAACATTTTAAGCACCGATATCTGAAACCAATTATAGGATACGTTTTGCAAATGTTGCATTTTGCTTGATGTTTTGCTGATTCAGCTTCAGCTAGCCTGTGTAGCACGGTTAACCATACCATACTTTGTGGTTCTTGTTGTAGCCAAACTAAGAAGTGCATAGCCTAAATATAATTTTTAATTTAACTGAGTCAATTAATTTCTTTGTAGTATTATGTGCAATTTTAAATGTATCTTAAATATACTCACTTCAATAACAGATTTGTCTTTGCCAGCTTTTTGGAAACAACTTCGAACAGATGGTTCAATATTAGAACCACCGAATGATGCTACCTCACCTAATTGGCGTGGTAATTGAATGCAATCATGCAATAAAAGACCTAATTTGCGTTGATCTACCTGTTTATTTGGATCGGCTATTAATCTGAATAAATAACGGTATTTTTCTTCTAAATGTCCTTTACATAATAATACAAGACCAACTTTAAATGACAATACACGAATTTGCCCTGTGCGTTGGCTAGGAAAAAAATAAACAAACAATTAAAACAGAATATTATGTAGGGTGATATTTTAAAATTATAAATATATTTTTTACCTGTCATAAACATTTAATAACCAGTTCAAAGATAAATCAAGGCAAAGTGGAACATGTACTAAAGAAGGATGTTGGGATGCTAATGTGTCAAAAATAGATCCTAGAATGGTTAACATTTCCGATACTGTTATTAATTTATCATTTTGAGCACGCAGTCCATGGTTATCAAACGATTCCAAAGCAGCTTCCAATGTCAACAAATCAACTAATACAAAAGATAAGTTTTAAGACATAATTTTTATATCTTGGCATTCATAGATGATTATACTTACGAGACATGCGTTTTTGTACTGTTCGTAATTTCATAGCAGTTCGGTAAGCAGAGAATCTTACATCATTAAATTCTGATAGAGAAGACATTAGTTCCATCATTTTTGGATGGTCCCAATTTGTAGATTCACATTGAAGACTAAATTTAATTAAATTAGTATTTTATTTAAAAATAAATTCTACAAAGACTTACTTAATATAATAAGGAACTTTATTTGGCGTTATTTCACGTTTCCATGGAGGTTCTACTGATCCACTCAACAATAAAGAAGTGGATGCCTCACTATGGCTAGCAGGTGAAGTTACATTACTATTGCTAATTGCATTTTTCCCAGTATCACGAATTTGTTTAAACCTATCATTCAAAATTTTCCATCTAATAAAAAAAATATACATGCACATTTATTAATATTTTTTATTATACAGATACCAAATATTAATGATAACAATTTAAATTACCTATTATTTATGTCCTGCAACATATTTTTATTGGAAACACTTATTGCTATATTGTTTGAAGTAAGTACACTAGCTTGATCATTAATTTCCTTCAATAAATGCTGTACAGGATTTAATCTGTCTTCAAATTGCTGTAAAAATAAAACAATTTATTTACTTGTATATTTTTTTAATAGGTCAGTTTACCCTTAGCTCTTGAAGACCTTTAGTGGAGTCACCAGAGTTTGATGCTGGCCATGATTTATACATGGCTTCAACACTGGCTAATTTTGATGTACAATCTTCTAAACTTTTTTGGAACACTTGCATTTTCTAGAAGAAATATACAAACAAAATTATAAAAATACATCAAATCACTATTTGACCTGTTTAGTAAAATGAACAAAATAAATTGATTGGCTATGGGATTTGGCTGCTATACTAGTAACACATGGCTATTGTATAAAAATAGTTTATTACCCAGTTTTGAAGAGTGTATAATATACAAAATATACACACATAAGCAGGTATATAAAATATAATCTATTTTTATAGTTTAGGTGTTTTAATCAATTATTTTGTAAGATAAATATAATTTAAATTAACATTTATTACACAAAATCTATAAAACTAGAACAAATATTTTAGTAAATAATTTATATTTGGTAAGTATTAAGAAAACTAGACTAATAAGAATCTATTTATTTGTGCATAAACTTCTAATAATAAACATTAACAAAAATTATCATAAAAATAAAACTATAATTCAAACTTGATGAGTTCCTCCGAAAATTTGTATCTCAAAATTCTATATTATGCCATCTGTTTCAATTAGAATAATAAACTTAAATGATAAAAATAATAAATAATGACAGAAAAAAGAAGCCTCCCAGTGGAGGTATTTCAGCGTAAATAATGAATAAGCAATGGTACTAATAATCAAATAATAATAATAATAATACAATAAATAATTAATATTTAATAGTCATAACTCATAACCGATTATTAGATAAGCAGGTTAAAAATAAAACTTAAGTTTATTTTTCGTTGAGATTGGCAATTTTAAAAAAATTATATCAAGTTCTTTTTATTGTAAATATTCAAAAAAATATTTAATTTTGTAATCAAGGAGTATTGTTTTAAGTTTGAAATACAAAATAAACTATACCTTGATGGAATCATTTAGGCTTTGCTGCCATTGATCAGAACGTTGTAATAAAGAGTTCCATTGTTCAGATACACGCGAAACTTCACGTTTCAAACTTATTGTTAAATCGCGAGCTTGTTCTTCAGCACTACGATAACCTCTAGAATCTCCAGTGTTATTAATTTCTAAAAAACAAATAAATTTAATTAGATTTAAATTTAGACTTATTATTTTATAATAATTAAATAATATATTATGAAAATTGTAAAAAATCAATGATAAAATATATTAATATTATTATATATAACTTAACTGTATATACATAGTTAATTTCTATTAATTTAATTAAATTTAAACAAATCAATATATTTATTTATTTCCAAAAAATGTAAGCAAATTACACAATAATTAAAATATTGATATTTTTACTGATGGGTACTATTCGGTTATTTTTTTTTAATTGAAACATTAAACATACAATATGTATTTCTTTTATAGTGATTAAGTGATTAATATGTTAAGTGATTTTTATTTAAATAAAATATATTTTCATAAAAAATAATATTAAATACGTATATCAAACTGTATTTATTATATAGGTAATTGATTTATAAGTGAGGAATATATTAATATATTATTATTAATTAGGATTATAAGTCTTATTAATCATCAATATGAAAGTTCAAATAAGATTATAAATTATAAATAAAATTGCTTAATCTGTTGAAGTAACGATTCTGATTTCTGAATTGCTAGTGCAGGGCACTTTATTCTACATGGCCAGCTTTGGCCAATTTTAAAATTAATTACCAATTATGAAATATAATATTCTAATATTTCAAATTGATTATTGCTAATCAGTCGATTAATTCAAGCACTAAATCTTAGCATTTAGTTGATACAATTCAATAAAAAGTCAGTTTATGATGAACACACAAAGATAACAAAGCAATGTGTGATTTTATATTACCTAATAATTTAAATTCTATTATTAGAAATATTAACATAGGCGTAACTAGGGGGGACTTGGGGGCTTAGTCCCCCCAACATAAATTTTAGCTCCCCGAGTCATAATTCCTAGTCCCACACTCCCGCCAATTATAGTAACATTTTTAAACTTAAATTTAAAATATTGTTTTATTTTTTTTTTTATTAATATCTTGGAAAAATATTAATTTAAACTATATTATTGTATGTAATGATCCTGTGTAAGACGTATCATGCTGTGTAATTTTTACTACACAAATACTCCCTACTAAGAAGTTGTCAATAAACTAAAAATCGTTAAATTCTTTATATTTAAAATAATACTTAATAATATGTTAATATATAATTATATAAATATTTAACCTCAATACCACTTGGTTTATTATTTTTTTTATAAATAAATATTAATTTATATTTATATTACATGTATAATCAATGAAGATAAGGTATTTGGGGGGGGGTATGGAGGCCAGAGCCTCCCACTTAATTTACTTATAATAAAAATCCTAGGGCTGAAGCCCCTCCTAACTTTAAAGTCTAGTTACGCCTATGAATATCAAACGATACCACTGTAGAATATATAATATTTAAATCGGTTGTATAACTATACTTTAAACTTTAAAAATATGTTAGTAAATATATAAAATTAAATCTTATGTCCTAGGAGTAACAAGGGAGTAACTATGAATACATTTTAGGGGAGCTTTAGTTCTCATACAATTTTTTTAATTTGTGTGAAAAATTAAAATGTTTCCTATACCCAATACTAAAATTTTGCACCCGTAAGAATCTTATAATCTATACACGTATAAAAATAATAAATAAATAAATTTACATAATTATTTATCAAGTATACTAGGTATAGTACCCGATCAATCTGGATTAAAATTAATCTACAGGGGCGCAGTCGGAAAAAATTCAGGCCAGGAAAATAAATTTACTCCAGGTCATTTAACATTTTCATCTTTTGAATAGAAACTTTATTTTATTTATTTATGTAATGAATTTCGTATTTAAATGTAAATAGGTTATTAACAAATATTAAAATTCATTGCATAGGTATGTATTATTGATAGAACTAAAAAAAAATTTTAAATTTTAAATAAGTAACTAAACTTTAATAATCTTAAAATGTTTTTACATAATATATTATGTTAATAATATGATCGGTTTTAAATGATAAATCATTAGGACTAGAGATATTTTCAGTATCCGTTAAAATGTTAGGTAAATTTCTTTTTCAATAATATGAAACTAATTACATACATTGTTTTTCACTTAGTATCAATAGCTTTTTACTTTTTTCTCTCTCTTTCATCACCACCTATCCTTTCTTATTATCACTCATTTCGAGGAAACCCGAAAAATATTTAATATTGAAATGATATAATATTTAAAAACAAAACTTTTTAAAACGTATGAAATATAATTAATGTATCTAGTATAAAGATACTCCACTAGTCCATCATACTGTGTTCTGTTAAATAGATACTTTGATGACAAAATAATAGGAAAATGCATATTTGACTCGAAAGTCGTGAGGCAATAAGGTGTTATTGTGCTGTAGAGCTTCGACGAAATAGTTATAAAAATAGGTAGTGTGTACTCTACTAACGTTGGTATATAGTATACAGTGTATACTGTATACTATACACTATGTACGGGCTACTGAAAATTCATATCGAATAGCCATCGCTAATCAGAATTAAAAATTACAAAAATCAACAAATCAATTAAATTATTATGATTTCGTTTTCGTGTATAGATAAATATACTTCTCACATTATTTTACACTATTTGTATGTTTTTTTTCTATCTATACTTCAGACCAACGTGCCATTTAGCTTCCAGGCCACTGGGATTTTTTTCGGTATCCCGATGGGGCATTCCGCCCATGCTTCTAAATTTTTTTTCCGCTGTTTCAGTTGAAATACGCATAGTACAATATTATCATTGCAATTACAATGATTCATTTTATAATTTTCTATTTCTTTATTTTGAGAATATCATTAATGTAAACACAAACAACTGGGAACAGACAGGACCGTATTTACGCCTAGGCCTGTGAGGCCCGGGCCTAGGGCGGCAAATTTTGTAAGAAATAAAAAAAAAAATCATATAAATATTTTATGCATTTATATAACTGCGTAAATTAATATTATAGTATAGATATTTGTGTGTAAAATAAACGGGCGCATGATACTTGTAAGACGTGGCAGTTTATACAAAGATTTATGTGTCAAGTTTGATTTTTTTATGAATATATGTAGTTTTGTCGAGGAAATTATTTCTGAAAAAACTAGAACACTAGAACAATATCCTAATGATATTGAAGAATCATTTACAAATGAATGTTTTCATTTGCGTGATCATCTTTTTTTTTAAATTTGACAAAAAAAAAAAGGAACGCCCAAGAACTTTGTAAGATGTTGTATACAAATTATTTAATAGATATTTACCCAAACGTCACAACAGCGTTACGTAGGTATGTATTTGTGCACGTTTGCAACAAATTGTACAGCAGAGCGGTCGTTTTCAGCATTGAAAAGAGTAAAATCGTTCAACTTTGGAGTCAGATAGATTAAACGCGACATCAATACTACACATAGAATCTGTGATGCTTCGAAGTATAAATTATGATGATATAATTGATGATTTCGTGTCTAAAAAAGTTCGTCGTATAATTTTATAGATAACATGGGTATAGGATTAAAAATTTATATTGCTAATACCAGCTAATTACAATTTATAATTATTTGTTTTGTTTATAATGACTATTGACCTAATTTCTTTAAAACGAAATAAATTTATTAGAAATAATTACAACATTTTTTTTTCTTGGGGTAGGGACGGCATATTTAAAAGGGCTTAGGGCGGCACTTGTTCTAGATCCGGCCCTGGGAACAGATTCCACTAATACTTAAAGTTGACGCAAATTTACTATCGTTAAGATCGGTTTTTGTCATTATGTGTTTACATCATAAATATATCCAGAACTAAAAAAGCAATTCATTACGTTATCATAGTTATTGTTTTAATAAGTACTTGATTTTAAAATTCATTTATTTTTTATAGATTTATTTGTAAACAGGCGGGGAAGTGGGTAGGTACGCTCTGCTGTGTAGTATAGGTGTCGAGTGAGTATATAATTGTTGATAAAGAACGGTTCTGAGCAGAGAGCCAAAAACAATATCACGAAGTATATTCATGTGTTTTTTGATATTGGTATTAAACTAATTTATTTTACTATTAGCATTAATGGTGATCGGTATGCTGAAAACATTGCATAAATAAATATTGTAAATATTTAATTATTATAATAGAATATATTTATAATTTTATATCATACTATATTACTATATTATTGTTAAGTATTAACATTTTAGTCGATACTATCCTACGTCCTTACCGTATAATATTGTAAATAAATTCATGATTAAAATAGATAATTACTTAAAATTTAACTACATACTTTGATAACATATCGTTGCGTTTAGTAAAATTCATAATAAACAAAAAAAAAATTCAAGTTTCCACAAATAATATTTTTGAATTATAACAAAAAAACTAACATAATTATTTTTCGTTTAAATATGGAATTTTATTCAAATTTATTTTTATTAAAAAAGTTTAGTTTACAATCTATACAAAATATGACATAATAGGTTAATAGTATGAAAGTATTATATGAAGTTGGTTTGAATAACTTGAAGAAGGGAACCGTACAGCAACAGTACCTTCCAATTAAGATGTGTTCAGAGGGGAACCGCTTATTTAAATTATTTATATTAAAGCGTTTCTTGGCCTTTTTTTTAAAATTATTTTCGATAAGTTGTTAGGAATAGGTAATTTATGATACATGAGGAATTAGTGAAATTAGGTTTGAGTAGAGTTTGGAATGAAATTTCTTGTAATGACGGATCGTTACTTTGTTAACTATTAGGATTTGTAGATCGTTATGTAGAGCACTGTTGGTTATGTACTACAGGGCTCCAGTGATTTGTCTAAGTCATAGTGGCGAACCCAGGGGGTGGATGCCGGGTCTGGACCCCCCTCCCCCTTGGCTTATGTCATAGTATTTTATTTATTTTTTAAAGTTACTCTGAAATTTTCATCAAATTTTATTGATTAGATTGATTATTAGATTTGGTATTTCAATATTAACACGTCGAATTCGATGTAGATAAAATCAATATTAAGACTAATGTACAATGACTATACCATAATTTAACTGGCATAATCATAATAATTAATTAACATACATTGTAAATATAAATTAAAAAATGCAAAAAATATGTATATTAAATAATATAATTTTGTTTATTAGTAAAATGTATGTATTATTTGAGGAAAAGAATAGAAAAACAGTAGATAAATAAATTTTTTTGGACCCCCCCCCCCCTGAATAAATTCTGATTGTGACACTGCTAAGACATATGGATTAAAAAGTTTGGATTGGTCTTATGTTTGAGGGTTTGACTTGGCTTCAGAGTTGAATGCCATTTGATCAGAAGGAAGTTTTGTTTTTCAGATTTATTTAAGAGGATAATAATGGGTGGAGAAGTCATAGACGAGTGTTTTCTTGTATTTTTTGTAAATTGATGCCAAGGTTAGTCTTTTGTCCAAAAGGACTTCAAAGTATTTTGTTACATTTTTTAATGGTATTGATATATTATTAAAAGATAGTTGAGGAGAGTAATTTTTGTTGAGAATGAAATTTACTTGAACTGATTTATTTTCGTTTATCTTAATTTTCTATTTGTCCATTTTTTTTATTCACAATTAAAAAAAAATGTCATATGCCTAAATAGATTTAAAAAAAGGAAATATAATTGGAAAATTATACTATTGTATAGAAAACGTTCAGATAAATATTTGGTGAAAAGTTTATGTATTTACGGTTATTTGTTTTTGAATTTTTACTTAATATCAAAAATTGTTTGAGAATAAATAGTTATTTCATGGGTGTATTCAATGTCGTAAATGTTTAAACTTCAAATACATCATAAACAATTAATGTGACATTCCAGTGTGTTTTTTTTTTTATTGTTGATAGAAAAACTTATGATGAAACTTTTATTAAATTTTCAAATCTTAGATATAATTAGAGATATTTTATGAATTCCTTTAACTACAAAATTAATTGCAAATTTTACAATAAATCCTTATAAAAAAAATATAATAATTAACAATTTCCGATTAGGTTAGTTATTAAGATTCATTATTATTTAAAATCGGTGATAAGATTTATAATTTATAAATTATGCATAACTAAAACCTACCTAATGTCTTATGGAGTTGACTTTAATTTTATAGAATACAAATAGCTTATATAGATAGCAAAGTATTCTTCAAAATATGATCCTAGATTTTAATTTATTTAACGAATTCATAAATACATTTACTATCATTAATTTATTTAAAAATAGTTTCATGTTTAATAGCCTAGCAAATAGGCACAAGCTTAAAAGGTTCTAAAATATGCAAAGATTAATTATCTTTAAGGGATATTTCTACGAATTGATATATTAAAAATAAGTAATTTGATACAGTAGTATATACGTGCACTATTACATATCTTTTCTCGAGTACATATGTTTATTATTTTGTCCACGATATCTTTACATGTTTCATCAATATACTTTTAGTGCTTTTAATAAAATTTGTTTCACTGAAAAGGGAAAAAACCGAACGGCTCAGTGTTCTAAACCTCATCTACCATGGGGGTTAATACAACTCTAAGGTAAGATATATTGTATATTTTTAATTACTACTGCACAAAATAAACAAAAATAGGAAAAATATCTTCACTCTTTCGCTTAACGGCTTAACTGACAGTATATATGCTTTAACAGACAAAACAAACAAACTGAAGACTAATAATGCATAACTCAATAATAAATACGATTTTTTCGATAGCACTTACTGATGATTTGTAAAATTTCAATGGCTTTAAATGTATGAATGTTTTATAGTATCTAGTTAATGCTTATTATACTGATATAATATACGCAGTTGAATAATAATTTTTTTTTAAATACACTATTTTACAATTATCTGCCTATATACAATTTTTAAAATGAAGAATATCGATAATAATAGTTTAAGCTAGTATAACCATCATAACATTCAGAATATATTATAATTTATAAAATAGTTATTTCAATCGGTCTAAATTGTTAAGAACGACTTACATATATTACAATTGTTGATAATCAAAATCATTTTAATTTTAGTTATATTTGAAAACAAGGAAAAATAATATTACTATTTTCACTACATATTTAAAAAATCAAATTGTCTTAACTCTGGATAATATGGAAGTTATCATATTATACAGATTTATTTAAAAACTATTGTTTGATGCTATATATGTAATAGTTATAAGTTTAATATTTAAACATGTTTAACATGTTTTTAATTACTATTGATAATTTTTATTTTTATATTTTATTATCTTAAAAGAATACAAAAATATTTATTTTAAGACTAGATGTATTAATTTTTTTTGAAATTTTAAAAATGTTTGGAAAGTACTTACCATAATATTTTATATATTAAATAGCAAATATGTATATTATAAATCGTGGTACAGTAATACGCTTTACTTAAAATTGTTTATCAAGTGTCTATCATTGCTATTATTATAATTTATGTACTATCTTATGTTGAGGCAAGTGTAGTAATTTATTTCGAAATATTTATTTTTCTATCAACAATTTAAATATTGAACTAAACAAAACATTAAGAAGCATATGATTATTTTTTGCATGAACATCGATCATTTGAAAATAATTAGAAAGTTTTTCAATTTACTAAAAATAAAAACACACACTTGTACGTATCTTCAATTAGTCTTAAACTACAATTGAGTGTTTTACAACATAAACAACCTATTAGTATCAATTAATAATAATTAGTAGAATAAATACTTTGTTTAAATGGCGTTGTGGTGTAACAAAATATGAATTGTAGTTTATGAAATCTTATAATCATATACAACATGATAATAACGAATGATACAATAATTAAAAAATGTTTATAAATAATTAAATTACCCACATTGAAAAAGTTAAAAACATAGTAAATATATTTCACTTATTTCAGTAAATATTAATAAAAAAGTTTACCAGAAAGTTTGATAAATGAATTTCTCTAAATAATGGAAAATATACATTACTAATTTATTAGTACAAAGTTAATCTCCAATTTTATTGAATTGTATTATTTCATCAAAATTTGTAAAAATTAAAAAAATTGATTTTCCCATTTATTTTATAAGAACACAAAAATTAATATTTTTGAGTTGTAAAATAATATTTATTAAATATTATTTTAATTTTATTTAACTTTTAGAATCTGAGTAGATTGATGAATGTATTTATTTTTTTAAATGAAATATAAATTTTTTTATCTGATATACGTTATGTAGTGAAACAAAATATATGATAAAATAAAAAAATTTACGTAATACTAGTTTTTGACAAAATCGATTTTGTTTTTTGTTTTATATGAATAAAAAACCATGTAGATTAAAAGATATTTATTACATTTTTATTTCAAAATTTACTAGACGCGATATCATTTTAAAAATATTCTTATTCTTTTTGTGGTATTTATAAAACATTAAAATTTTGAACTTTTTTTAGTTTTTTTCTTCAATTTATCTTTTATAAAATTGTTGTATTTAAATAAAAATTTGAAAATACTATTAATATAAAAGGTTTTAATTTAGGTCTATAGAACTCATCGAATTAATCATTGAATTCAAATTTGACATATCCTTTACAGTGGCTATTTGATGACGATGAACATTCTACTTAGTGTCAATCTGGCCTCCGATAAATTCATTTTTAGTAAGCCATTATACCCCATACTAACTTTAAAAAAAAATTGATCTGTCTTTTAATGCGTTAAATAAAATAATTTATTAATTATGATAGTTAGAAAAAAACAAAAAAAATTATAACTAACGTTTATTTACGTATAATAAAAAAAAATAATTTACCTTAATGCAAAATAAAAATTTCAATTAACATAAATAACGTTAATTAAATAAAATATAAATTATTATTAAAGTAAAGTTTTTTTAATGTATTGCTGAAAGATCGAACATATATTAATAATTTTAAATTTGCTTATAAATTGAAGGATGAAATGTTTTCTTCAATAAACAGACAAATTAAAGGATCCAAATATTATTGGCTAATTAAAGAAACTTAAGTTTAGTTTTTAAAGTTTAAAATTTTAAAAATAATAGCTCTTATCTCTTTTGGCTATAAACTCCTAATAATGAAAACTATTTCGACAATTGACGGATAGTCGAGTGGGCCAGACCGACACTGATTCTACTTTTTCTATACAACATAGACATTTTTATGATATGGTAATAATTTTATAATATTATATTCTTACCTTCATTTTTCACGACAGACTTAATTTGTGATTCATTATTTATGTATTGACGACCACTGCGTAAGTTAGAATCAATAACTGGTCTCTTCTCTTCCAATTGTCTACGGAACCCTCTATGATCATCCTATAATATATGTTAATTTTTACATATTATACATAATTATATTATATTCTGTTCTTAAATAAAAATTGATTGTATATACTTGTTGCTTTTGTAACGTGGCCAAATCGTTACCTAAAGGACCAAAACTTGAAATTTCTGTGTCCTTTTTAATTACCCATTCGACTAGTTCTCTTAGGGATAATAAAAGTGTATTCCAATGTTCTGTATTATTTTCTAGTCGATTTCTGAAATAAATATTTTCTATTACAATATATTTCTAGTAAATTCAATTTTACGAGTATCCTTAAAGAAGTATGTATAAAAAATAAACTTTGATTTATAGGAGCCATGGCATGTATTCATGTATACCAATATATTATAATATGTACACGCGAAATGCAGTTTACTTATACACGTAAAAAAAAAAATTAAAAATATTATTATTTAAAATTACAATCAGAGTTTTATTAACAACCAAATTTTTTTTAAACTAAAACCAATTGCAAACGTTGATAATTTTATGAACTTAACTTAGTACCCATAACGCGAATAAATCATTCAAAAGGTCACACTACTCCTGACACGTCACGTATGAAAAGGGGAAACTAAATATGATCAAAGTCCAACGGGATTACTTCAATATCACAGGTTCAGTGCTATATGAGCTTCTTGGGAATTATAAATTATAATCATATAATATAAATGAAAGTTAACAGGGTGTACATATCCCTTAGGGCACAAGTAAAATGACAAGTTCCAATTACCCCTCCTCAAAAAAGCATACATAATATCATACAGTACAAAATTTATTATTTTTAAAGGTTAAATACGAGTATATTATTGCACTTTTCGACTACAAAGTCGAAAACACTACAAAATCCGTAGTAATTTATAGTTTATTATTTTTTTTAATTTAAAATATTGAAATATTACAAAGAATATTATATATATAATATATATATATATATATATATATATATATATATATATACATACTATATAGTCATTTAAATAATAAATGTGAATAGGTACCTAATAGTCACAGAACGATTTTTCAATTGGTTCCAACGCTGATTCATTTCTTCTAACCGTCTTTGAAGCATTACGGCATCTTCCTGTGATGACAGACTTCCTAAAAGTTTTCTTCCACTAGTATCAAGTGAGTTTAATGATTGACTTTTCGTTTCCATTTCTTGCTGTAATTCCTGTAGATAAAATAAATTAGTTAGTTTTATATAAAACATTACACAAGTTTTATTATTTTTTCTGTTAGTCATTTGTAATAAAATACTTATTATGTCTAAATTATTAATAACAAACCATACGTGAAATAAACCTATGTGGGTTTATAAAGTATCTAAATGTATATTTGTGCATCTAATGATTTTATAATTTAATATTAATGGTATATATAACGTCTGGTGGATAAAGTGTAAATAATGAAAACTGCAGTTAATTGAGAATGCATTATGTAATTAGATTATAGAAGGAAATGGTTACGTTATGAGAGAAAGAGTATTGCATTTGCTAAATTCCTTATCTTCATTAAAATTGTCATCGTACAGAATATAGTGTATTTACTCGGGGGAGATATATTATCATTATTCTTGGGATATAAGTAACATTAAGATATGAGTGCATTTTAAACGAATCTCGAAGCCGATCGAATTAACATCAATTTATTATGTCGATCACGCAGAAAATATAAACTAGAGGGTGGAAAGGAAACAAGCCGCAAAATAGGCTTAGTTAAATTTTAACGTGTCGTTGCTGCTACAGATAGTATAGCGCAGTACTCTCACGAGAGCCATAATACGAGACCATAAGGTTCCTCACAAATCCTTTCTATGCAAACATTTTCTCTTGTTACGTACGAGAACGTCCGTAATTTTTCATTAATTTTATTTATAGTTTTATGTCTAACAAACACATACGGCATGTTAAATTATGAAATTTGTGTTAACATTAAAACATTCTTTGTGTCGACACCAAAAAAAAAAAAAATAAAAATATATTTAGTATAATGTATACCGTAGTGTTACAGCAATAAACTCTTCAAAGATTTTATTTTAGGTAGGTACACCAAGCTTACATTCTTTTTACACGTTAGCCGTTGTAACATAAAGATTTTGAGTGAGGATGGACTCAAATTGAGTTAAGTGTAATACAATCATGTAAATGAGTTGAAAACTTGAAAATATTAATTAAAAAAAAAAATTACTCACATTTGTAATTAGTTTAAAAAAGTGTACGACGTATAAAAATTATGAAATTACTTTTCCTTTTTTTTACGGCTTAACTGGAAAATATTTAAACTCGTCCAGATTAGGTCGCTTACAATTTGTAATAATCATTGCGATTACATAGATTACAGGTAACTATGTTACGTTTAGTTTTACCTTCGTTATAGGTACCTATTACAATGTTGCTTTTTATACAAATGAATGCAATAATTTAAATAAAGTAAAATTATTATACAGTAGTTGTCAAGTTATTTTTAGAAATAATATATTATAATAAAATTTACTAATAAGGCTTATCAATAAAACTATCGAATTGGTACACCAATTTTAATATAAAATGATACCACACAAATGCTTTAAAAGCACCCAATACCTAATTTCATTTTTAAAAACACATTACAATTCATTATTTCAAATGTAAATCTCTGAAATTAATTGATTATTTTTAAACAACTATCGTAACCATCACAATAGAGAAGATTTATTGAATTATTATAGATCATAGAAACATTATCAAAGAGCAATTTTTACTCACAGATATGTTAAACGCCAAAATTATAATAAAGCTTATCTTGCAAATACAACATTTTATAATGAAACGCGGTAAAATCCCGTTCATTGTATACAGAAAAGAACGTTTAATATGGGAGTTTAAAACAATGAGGTCAGATGCTCTTGTCGAGAGACCTCTTGTTCGCTTCTGGCATTGATTAAAAAAAAATTCAGCGTACAATTATAGAAAAAACGCAGAGACAAGCGAACACAATCTCAAAGTGCATTGTTTTATAGAATTGGGCTCACGCATTTTTTTCCTATGGTAGTATATACTATAGTATTATATGTATGTGGACTACACTTCCGAAGCACTTCAACAGATATTAAGTCAATGCTGAAATTTTTTAGTATGAGAATCATATTTTTATTGACATAGGAATAATTTTTAATTTACGCGCTGCATATTATAGGTACCAATATAGTGAGAGAGTTGTTTAAATAATATGAAGTATACGCAAATAATAATAAATAACAAATATTATGTGAATATCATTTTTAACCCTTCTATTAAAAACCATGTCAAGTATTATAGAATATTCTAATTAATGATACCAAAAATTTTGTAATCTGAAGGACTATTATAAGCATTTTAGAATATTAAAATTATCCATGTAATATATATCATACACACATAAGTAGATACCTATTATTATTAAAAACGAAACGTGTATAGTTTGCAGGCTGACACTCGTATGATATAACAATAACAAAATAATCAATCACGATAATTCCGTGTATCAATCATTTTGATTCTTATATCTAAGTCGAATATAACAAGAGGACTTCAATCAGATTTGACAATATGGTGCCGTTCAAAATAGTTTAGGACACATTTCAAGACATTTCATAACACATTTAATAATTAGATAAAACTTTTTTTTAGAGTTATACCAAAATGTAACTAAGATATCTAAAATAAATTTTTTTTTATATCAGTAGAACAGTTTTTTTTAAGCAAAATCAAAAATTCAGTTCCGGAAAAATATATAGATGCAGTATGATACCGAATATATTATTACTTATAATAAATTTAAGACGTATGTATTTTAATGTGTAACCTTTTTTGTAATAAAAAAAGTTAACCCTTGGGTTATTTACAATTTAAAACAGATTTCTGTGAATAAATAAGAAATGTATCAATTCACTACGTTAATGTAATAAGTAATAACTAATAACTTTTAGTGACATATTGATGAGTAAATAATTATATAAGCTTAATTTTTTTATTTAAAGTTTAAACATAAAAATCTCAACGCGCGGTAGAAAAGCTAATGTAAAACTAAAACTAATTACTTATTTTATTTTTTTAAATAAATCAAATCTTTTTGATTGGTTTGGTAATTAATCAAACAGGATTTAAATATTATTTATTTTATTTCGTTGTCGTGGGGATCACCAGAGTCGGAATCAACTACAAACCCTAATGAATAATGGATACTATAAAGCGGCAAAGTTTAGTCGTCTTTAAAAAATAACTATCAAACTTCGAGGAGAGCTTGATGTCGAGAAAAACAACTACATAGACTAAATATTTCATTGGTACAGATCTACAGAAAAGGAAAATAGTTTTTTTTTTTTATAACATAATTTATATATATATATTTATGTATGTGTGGGTGTGTGTTTCTCTGACATGATTTCCCGACGAAACGTGAAAATGCTTTCAGACCAGGCGGCCAAACGATATGTATTATGCAAATCTAACCTAGAAGGGCGAATAATTTGGAAGTAGAGCATAAGTCGAATGTACTACTTATATTATATGTATACATACTTTCGGAGTAAACGTTTTATTGGGTTTGAAATTTAATATTTTTATCGGTTTCAATTTTCGATTTGAGATAAAATCGAGTAAAAAAAAGAAAAAAAACCCATTTTAAATATTCTAAAACCGTGTAAAAAAAAACCAACTCTGTACAACATGTTATCAGTTATGTATAAAGTCTAGCACGCGTTGCAGTTTTTTAAGATCACATTGAACCAACTACAACGATTACGCTCGTATATGGATGTATATAATATAAATCTGCTTGTACATATTATATAGGGGTATACGGAACCTAACCTATTCACGAAATGACGTTTTTTACGGCGACGGGTGTACAAAAGTAATACTTGATAATATAATGTATGAAATTCGTCAGACCGGCGACGAAAGGGAAAACCAATTCGGCCATCTCGTCCGAACTCGTTACTTTTACCTTAGCCAATCTTTGTTGCGTGTCTAGTATATCCAACATTAAAGCGATCTTGTGATCGGTCACCCGATAACCGTTCCGATAACACTCGATGAGCTGATGGAGCGCGATAGCAGCGGCCTTAGTGGGCACTGTGGCCGACGGTGACTCCATGTCGACCGAGGACGAGGAACCTATTCCGCTACCACCACCGCCACAGCCCTGGGACGAAACGGGAAGCGAGAGTCTGCGGTGTCGCTGGAATCGGGACGCGGACGCGGGTAACGATCTATGCTGCACGACCACCGCAGCGGTAGCGCACAACTTGTCTGCGGAAAGGTTGCCGCAGCCGAGACCGGCCGGGACGGTGGACGACGAACTGATTCTCGTCCACGGCGGCCCGTCGGCAAAATCCATCGAGATGGGACGCTGCCGTCGACGTCCTCCCCCCACTCCGGCGGGCGCGGCCGTCTGCTGCTGTTGTCGCACGCCGCCGCCGGCGTGCCGCATGAGAAACACGTCGGCCACGGAACCGTCGCAGAACCCTCGACGGTACGCTTCCTCCACGCGTTTAGTGTCGCTACTGAAGTGTTGTCTGCGCGCCGACGACCGCTGTTGCACCACACCGTAGTCGGACACCGATCGGGTGATGGCGGACGGCGGCGACGGCGAAGGCCTGCGGTGCGAGTGCTCGGGCAGTCCATCGGTGCGCCAGTCGCCGAAGCCACCGTCATCCGTCGGGGACGGCGACAGCGACGACGATGCCGCCGGCGATGATTTCTTGCATTTCTTCGGGGTCACGTCGACCGCGTGCCCCAACCGCGTCACGATCGACCGGTAAACAGAGTTCTTCCGGATCACTTGCAGCGCGGACGTGATCTTTTGTCGGGACGACGAGCCACCGTCGCGGGACGTCCGCCGCAGCGGTTCGGACATGGCGAGAGATAGCTGTAGGGGCGCCGCGACGACCACCGACCGACGCCACTGACAGACAGACCGCGTGTGCGAGACGCGACAATGACGAACGTGACGCCGCGAGTGGATGATGATACAACACCTATACGGCGGTATACTTTGTTTCACGGGGGGCGCACGTACGGTGGTGCGCGCGCGCCCGCGTAATTTACTCGAGAGGTTGTTGCGGTGCCGGGTCACGTGCGCAGCGTTTATACGATTGTATATTACCGTGTCCGCGTGTGTACGTGTAAGCACGGTATCGCTGGTGCGTGT